CCCTTTGTGCAAAGCCAGCAAAAGCAAGCCCCTTTTCAAAGGCTCATGGAGCCACATGTAGGAAAAATTTTCTGGAGAAGCTGGGTCTGAAAAGAAGACAGCAAAGGCAGCAAGGCGCTTCTGCTTTGGCCGCAGGGACTGGGTGCAAAAGGTGAAAGGTCAGTGCAGGGAATTGGGAGAGAAGGCAGCTGGGTGAACGAATACTTCTTGGGGTGGCTGGGCTGGGGTGGCTGCAGCTTCCTGGGGCAACTTCGTGCAGCTTCATGCAGCTGGGCTGAGGTGGCTGCAGCTTCCTGCTATGCTGTGGCTCAGGGGCTTCTTGCAGGGTGCAGGGCAGCCAAAAGGGCAAAGATGGGTGGGGGGAGTTGGAGGCAGTCCCTTACCTTACTGAGGCACGGAGCTGGGAAGGACCATGCCCTGATGGCTTGGATTGAGGTGGCTCCTTGGCTAACGACTGGTGAAACTCACTTAACGACAGCAAGTGGAATTGCCGGGATTGTGGTCACTAGGTGATGCAGTCATGTGACATCTTGCTTTAAGACTGCATCGCTTAGCGACAGAAATTCCAGTCCCAATTGTGGTCATAAGTAAAGGACTTCCTATAGTTTCCTTTGCAGCAATATAGCAGTAGTTTGTCATCACCATTTTGGGGACTTTTTTCAACTTCCCAGTTTAGCTTATGCTGTAGAATTTCCATGCAGTTACTAAACAAATCCAACCCTAATCCAATCCAACCTTGAGGTCAGCCAAGGCCAGTTAATTAAGTTGCATTTTGGTACCATTGCTGGAAACAGTGAGTATTAATTGCACACCAAAGGAAATATGTTTCAAAGTTCAGAAGTAACACAAAAATGGCACTTTCTGCTTGCTTGAAAAGTAGGCCCTTGCAAGTGTTAGCATCTTCAAAAAGGGCCTTCCTGCAAGATACGCTATCCCTTGGGGAGCCAGGCCTTAAGCCAGAGGATCCAGTCTGAATCCCCAGAACTGCAGACAACTCTTGAAAAGTTTGCTTAAGGCCTCTGAAATCTCAAAAAGTGTTGCCAAATAGTAATTTTTAACAATGAAATATGTGACAGATGAGGAGCTATATTAATTAAATTTAACTTTTAAATAATGAAATCAAACGTTTTTGTTGTGACATCATGCACTAATTTGCAGTTTGCATGCACCTTTCAAAAGCAAGAGTGTCTCTCATCCTGCAACAATTGCATACCCCTGTCCCGGACAACTTAAGGTTTTAAAAATTTCATACTTTGAATGGACCCTGGAAAATGGAAACCAACACAACATGATGTGATGTGAACAACATACCAGTTGCATTTTGCAGAGATTGAAGCTTTTGGGTGGTCCACATATTGCAGTACTGTAATTGTGGTGTATTTTTACAGGCAGTCCCTGGGTTAAGAACGAGTTCTGTTCCTAAGCCTGTCTTTAACTCGAATTTGTATGTAAGTTGGAACTCATACAAACAGGATGCCTGTTACTAAAAATGGCAGACGGCGTTCTCCTTCCTGGAGCCAACTAACTGCTGAAGCTGGGCGATGTTTTCATGACCTGCTGAAAATAGGCTATATATTAAAAACATGCGGCTTTAGCAGTTCATGAAAATATTGCACGGCTTTAGTGGTTTGTCAGCTCCAGGAAGGAAAATGTCATCCACCATTTTTAATAACAGGCAGCCCACTCGTAAGTATGAGTTGTCCATAACTCAGACTTTCTTAACCTGAGGACTGCCTGTATTTAGGACTGTGCAGCACTTTGGATTCAATCTCCAAAATGTTTTAGAGCATGAAATAATACTAAATGTATCAGGTATCCGACACCTGAAAGCTGCTGCATCTTTTCTCAGGATTATGTGGCAGTTAAAGTGGCATTTCCGAATGCTTCGAAGCATCCTTTGGACATCACATCCTAAGTACTCCTCAGCTGTAATTTTTTATACCCAGAATTCTCTGGTTCCAAATTTGCAAAATCATTTTAATTTAATATAGGATTAAAATCATAAACCTATGAAAATTGGAGAGTTTTTGCCTTAACTTTTTAAACCTTAGATACATCTGTGACTGTGATTATATGTTTCTTTTTTTAGGAGGCAACTGATGTTAAAAATGCATTTATTGTATTTGATAGATTGTATTCATAAGGCTGTTTGAGATGAAGTATATGCCTAGGCCTCATGCTGTGAAATAAGAGATGGAGATGTATGGTTTTCTAAATCATTTTTTTTTTTTCAGAACATCAGTACTGGAATGGCAATAGCTGGAGTGATTTTACTTGCCAAGAGTATCAAACTGGTAAGTTACATTTTGAGTTTAAAAAACATATACAGTTGTTATATGCAATAAATTGAAACAATATGTTGAATAATGTGCATACTGCTCATATATAACTTTTAGCCAAATCTTGCTTTAATACAGCTTGTTTGGTTTTAAATAATTAGCAAAAGATTTTTTTATTTATTTAGATCCTGAGCTTGTCTTGGAGGATCAGAGTGGGCAAAATTTTTAAAACAATTATGAATCCATTAAACTCAGACTGAATCTTAATAGATCACCTTCCTTAAAGTATACAGGTAGTCCTTGCTTACAACCACTTGTTCAGTGACTGTTCAAAGTTACAATGGTGCCGAACGAGTGGTATTTATAACCTTGTAGTTGTGGCCGTTGCAGCATCCCTGTGATCGCGTCATCATGATCCTGGCATTTGGTTACCGACTCACAATTATGACATTGCAGTGTCCTGCGGTCACACGATTGCCATTTGTGACCTTCACTGACATCTTCCAACAAGCAAAGTCAGTGAGGAAGCTGGCAGGAGGTCACAAATGGCAATCGTGTGACCGCAGGACACTGCAATGTCATAATTGTGAGTCGGTAACCAAATGCCAGGATCATGATGACGCGATCACAGGGATGCGGCAACGGCCACAACTACAAGGTTATA